ATATAAGAATAATTGAATGCTCTTTTCTTTTTCTGATTTATATTTTCGAATCTAACAAAAAACACGATAAAAAATGCCCACTAGAAACTAGAAATATTGAAAAGAGAACGAGAGGAGCACACGTAGTTATTAATTCATATGTTGCATTATATGTTCATTCGCTCTGCTCGCGGAGTGGTATTATACCGAAAAAAAGAAAAGTGTTCTCGGATTTGAAGGTATTCATTGACGAATGGTGGAAATTGATTCTGGAAAAATTCCAAGTAGCAGGAAGTCTGAGTGGCTTCGACATATGCAAAAGCACCATTATCTTAATTTTCTCTATAGTATCAATAATAATTTGATTTGCAAAACAGTGATGACTAATCCTGAACCTATTTAATATTTTAGAAGTTCGACATAATGCTTTATGATGGAGAATCATTTGTTACAAGCGTTTCTATTATGTCTTTTCTTATTTGGTTCAACTGTAATGGACCATTGTTCTCTAAGTTGAAACTTGAAACCAAGTCTTTTTATTTGTGACCAAGCCTTGAATGGAAGGGTTGTTATAGGCCATTGGCTAGTGGTAGGATGAAATAATGGACAAGCAGTAGAACCCTTTTAATTGGTTTGGTGTTTTGTGGTTTATGGATACTGGGTTTATCCTTTTTGGTGCTGATTGATGAATCTTAATTTTGTTTGCTTGTTGGAGTACAAAGATGTTCCATCTAGCTTTGATGTAGTACATTTGGTTGAAGAGAAATGGTAGGCTTTCTTGGTAAGGATAAAATTCAAGTGGGAAGGGTTCTCGAGACTTGATTCCAGAGTTTTTTTTATTTTTTATTTTTTTGGGGTGTGTGGTAAGTGTATTAGCAAGCGAGCGAGCAAAGTAAGGATAAAATTCAAGTGGGAAGAGTTCTCGAGACTTGATTCCAGAGTTTTTTTTTTTTTTTTTTTTTTTGGTGTGTGTAAGTGTATTCGCAAGTGTATTTTCTTCACATCACAGCCAAACTTGTTTAACAATAACAAGTTGTGAATTCAAAATGTTTGTGCTAATTTTTATCAAGTTGGTTGTTGGCCAAAACTTTAGGAAAAACCTTTAAAATTTGATTTTTTTTTTTTTTTTTTTTTGTTAGAAGGAGTGTAGAAGGTTATGAACTTATTATTGCACCTTCGGTGGAATGTCTGTTCATTGATGATGCATTATTTTATTTTATTTACATTGATAAAGTTCTTCTGTGAGCTTCTTGAAAATTGATAAAAGGGACCTGAGGACCTTAAGATTCCCAGCCTGATGTTTCAACTGGATAAATCTTTCCGTTTGCATGATATTTAAAGTTTTTAGTACAAGTTAATATGGTTATTATGGTGTTAAAGAAAAGAAACAGACATCATCTAATTATATATGTGCCTGGTCCATTTCTGACTAAAACAGGACTAACGAGATATATAATTGCTTTAGTGTATTTTTCTGGCTTGTTTATAATGTACTTCAGTGTATTTTATAAGATTTTTGGTTTATTTCTTTTCTCGCATAACTATTTTTCTCTTAATATTTGGGCATGCATTGGATTAGAGCATTATATCTAATGGTGCTTTTATGATTGGTTTACAGGATCGGGCTAATGAGATATATAAAAGGGTGGAAGATCAGAAATCTAGTAGAGGAAGAAATCAGGATGCACTATTGGCTGCTTGCCTGTACATTGCTTGTCGACAAGAAGATAAGCCACGCACTGTAAAGGGTACTGCTTATGACTTTTTTGTTTTAACATCTAAATGCTTCCTGAATTATCTTTTGCCTTTGTGTATGAGTTTCCTTGAATCTGTGGATTTCACATAGAAATTTGCTCCGTCGCCAATGGAGCCACAAAGAAGGAAATTGGCCGAGCAAAAGAATACATAGTGAAACAACTGGGATTAGAGAAGGGTCAGTCAGTGGAGATGGGAACAATACATGCTGGGGACTTTATGGTGAGAAGCTTTTCATTATCTTTTTAATTCTGATTTGACGCAAATAATCATTAACTTTCGTTGAGCTAGGCAACAAATCATACTTAATACGTTTTCCTAGTTTGTTGTTGCCACTGACATAATATCTACTTAATTGCAGAGGCGATTCTGTTCCAATCTTGGTATGACTAATCAAGCAGTCAAAGCTGCCCAAGAAGCCGTGACAAAGTCAGAAGAATTCGATATAAGGTGGTTCCTTTTTTAATGCATTATGAACAAGAAGGGTATTATTGATGAATGCATATTTGGATGACTGAAAATGTTCCTTTCTTAATGTGTGTGTTATCAACATAGTAAAACACTTTCATTTTACAGCAAATATCAGTTTCCCCTATGAACTTCCCAAAGTGACTTATAAGGACTATAAAACCAGTAGAAAGCTAGTTTAAAGAGCCAAATCGATAAAAATTATCTCCAAGAGACTCTATAATAGCAAAGTGAACAGTCGTTCTTTAAGTTTCTAGTCACTTTTCAATTGCTAAATGGTAAAAATTAATAAAACTCAAAGGTGGACCTGTGAACCGAGGAAAAAAGGAAGACATATAAGATGGTTCTAGAAAATGAGTGGGTTGGGTTTTTTCTTTTTGAAATGATTAATAATAAAAAATTAAAAGTTTATTAAAATAGAGAGTGTTGTTGAAGATCAAAATTTAAAGAGACTAGCTAAAGTAGCTTTTCCACACTGTTCACTTGCTATAGAAGCAACAGTTAAAGAAAACTGTTGAGATGCTCTTAGGGCATGTTTTGTTTGAAATTGGCAATATGTTACAAGGTTTTATACTGATAGCATTAAAGTTTCTAATAAATCGAGTTTCTTTTTCTTTTCTATCGGTACAATGGTTACAGTTGAGCCCAAAGAAATTATTAGAACAATGGTATTGTTTGTTCGTTTCCCAGCATTTCTGTTTTGGATAGTGATGAGAAGTTGGATGGAATAACAAAAATTTATCAAGTGATTTCTTGTTGCAAATGAAATCCATTGGTCTCATAATATTCCCCCTTCGTATGTAAGGCGTGAAGATTCTTTATTTTAAGATTGGTGCGATGAGTTATGCCAAGCTGCACTAGTGGCTTCTAATGATGGTGGTTTCTTTTTGTGTCTAAATTTCAGGAGGAGCCCTATATCGATAGCAGCAGCAGTTATTTATATTATCACCCAACTTTCAGACGACAAGAAGCCTCTCAAAGGTTCAATATCCTCTCCCTCTTTAGAAACAAGGGAATTAGCGTTTGAAAATTGCGGTTGAAAGCTTGTTAATTGGGTTTGCTATAGAGATCCAATCTCGTTGGATTTAATGTTATTCATTTCTAAATCATTTTTTTCCTTGCTACTATTTTATAGCATCTCTTGTAATTTAGAGCTCGTTTGGAAAGTGCTTTTAAAATGGTTGAAAGCGCTTTTGGTGAAAATGATTTTGGAACTAATCCTTAGTAAAAATGCAAGTAAATCTTGGAAACTTTGCTTTCTGGAAGAAGCTCATAACTAGTGCTTCTTGCAGAAAGCAGTTCAAGTGCTTTTGGAACGCAAAAAATTCTCTCTAAAAGTGATTTCAGTTATTTTAAAAGCAGTTCCAAACGAGCAATTAATTCATTCTTAATAAGCGCTGACGTATGCAATGGCCAATGTGAGTGCAGATATCTCCGTTGCTACTGGAGTAGCAGAAGGAACAATCAGAAACTCTTATAAAGACCTTCATCCCCATGTGTCAAAGATTATACCTGGCTGGTACGCAACGGAGGATGCTCTCAAGAACCTTTGCAGCCCTTGAAATGTAGGCGAAGCGGATTAATTAAGAACACAGAGAAAGTTGAATTGAATTGGAGAGGTCTTTTTTTTCTTCCCTGGCGTTGTATTTAACTATCGGATGTATGAACGATACAGAAGGCTTAAATTGTTATATAGAATTCCTTTTCATAGGAAATTATATATTCAATCGACTCAACTGAAATATATGCTTAAATTAGCAGAATGTTTTCGAGTTTTGAACTAGCAGAATGTTTCACCTCCGGAGTCTGGAGTACCATGACTGCAAGTGTGATCGTTTTAAATTGGGAGCTTTAACGAAGAAGGTTTTTCCAAATTTTTTCTTAACCAATAACACCTTTATTTAGTGGAAATGACAAAAATTACGTACATCAAGTTTGGAAGTTCGGTAAAAAAAATCGGAAAATACGTCAACATGTGGGACTTCTATGAGAAGAAGAGGGCGTCGATACGAACTCGTACCCTCTATTCATTACAGTATGAAAGTCCTAAGAAGAATATAAGATTGGAAAGAATGATACGAGGGGGAAGAAAACAAGATGGGAAAAGAAAAAAACGGGGCTAAAACTGAGGTACAAAATCGAAACTCGGTCAATTATTTTGATAGGACCAATCTGTTGGGCTAGTTTGATGTTGGATTTTGTCCTATCATTAAATAAAATTGTTAACGGATTCTTAATTAAAATTCAAAGTTTTGAAGTCTTTTCTATTAGTTTTTCTTTTTAAATTATGTGTCTCTAATGGTTCATTCCAACGAAACTTGGTCAATTATTTTGGTTGGACCAATCTATTGAGCTGGTTTGATGTTGAATTTTGTCCTATTATTAAATAAAGTTATTAAGGTACTCTTGGTTAAAATTCAAAGTTATGAAGTTCTTTCTATTTTTTTTTTTTTTTAACAATCAATATAATTTACACTAAGGGTAGGGGTGGGCTTAGCCTCACAATAGGTTAGCAATAATGTGATTCAAATTCGTCTTTGGCGAGAAATGAACCTAAAACCTCTCACTTACCGATGAAGAGTGAAGAAAAATATCACTAGACCGTAGTATTAAGTGGCAAAAGTTTACATTCAACAACAGGATTATAAGAATTCTTTACCAGTGAACGTAGGACTAGCGAACGACCGGATCCATGGCGTCACTGGGGTCGGCAAAATCGTGGAGGTACCTCTGTGAGCCAAGGATCTATAGATAAGAATTCTTTACTGACCTGAATAGATATATCAAAACACAAGAAGCATTTGAAAGCACAGTGACTCTATTTGTGCACTTTTATAAACAACCATCTTTTCTGTACAAAATGTTATCAAGAATCCATGTCTTGAACTTATTCAGCAAAACTAAGTACCATGCAGAACAAGTAACGTACACACGCTCAACGATCTCAGCTCATCAGCAGACAACAAAGTTTTCAAATATAATTTATCTGCTTTTCTATATATTCTACACCTTACATAGCACAAACCTGCGAAACGAGTAAAAGCCCAGTTGTCAAGGCTACATCAACTGTTCATGCCCCTTTTTCCTGCTCTTGTGGCAAAGTAATGCATGGGTGAACCCTTTGGAACCAGTAGAGCAAAATTAAATGCATCATCATTCTTCGGGCTGAAATAAAGCGAAACTTGAACTAGTCTCGGTCTTTGTAATCTGCATTGCAATATACAAAATCTTTATAAGGTGAACTTGCACAAGGAAATATAATTATGGGAACAGCTCACCATTACACCTTAGGGCCCTTGATCTAAGACTGAACACCTTGGATGAAGGGAAGGGGGAAATTTAATAGATGTTTCCATATTGTGAAGATTAACTGGTTTATCCATCCCATGCCCTAACGAAAAACAAAAATGACATCCCATGACAAGGAGTGATGGTTTATTATTTCATTGGTAATGGTTTTGTGATTAACATGTTATTTATGAGAGCTAAGTGATGATTTATTATTTCTCTTGGGAACACAAACAGAAAACAAAAGGAGAGATTCTCAAAGAGAAATACCAACCTCAGTAGGACGAGAAATTCCAGAAGGAAGAACAGGAGCAAGAGACGTCCAGAGAATGGGGTCTACCAAGGGATCGATGGCACTGTAGCTGGTCAGAAGTGGTGCAGACAAGAAGGGAGCCAATGGGAACACATCTCTTTGGTGAGATGGTCCACCACTCATTCCTAATGCAGAACTAAGTCCCTCATCATGACTTGTGGATTTCTCAACTGCTTTGCCATAGTCCATCTTGTGGATGGTATTTTTGTTTTCATTCTCATCATTATCTGCATCTTTTTCCTCCTTTTGTGATGCTTTCTCTTGCAAGTTCTTATATGCCGCTGACCTTGAAAGGATGCTCATGGCTGAGACTCTGGTACCTTTATGCTTTTTACTTACATGGGAGATGCCCAAACGGGGCATCTGGTATGGTTCAGTAGGCTGGATTTCCCATTCCAATGTTTTAAGTTCAGCTCCAATATCTCCAACACAACCGTGTTTTGTTTCTTCTGACGATTTCATGCTAGTTTCAGCTTGACGAGATCTGTTGGGTCCCCACCACTTGATGTAACTTGTTAGGTCAATCTTTCTTTCAATGCAAAAAGCTCCCAAAAGTTCACTTTCTGTTGCTGGATCAACGCCTGTACCTTCAGGTCGTATAAGACAGGAATGGCACTGATTCAGGTAGTAATCCAGATGAAAGGAATATAATAAATTCAAAATCCTGCAGCTGCAACTTTGTTTGCCGAAGAATCAGTTCGAGGGACTGATTTTTCAGAGCCCTCTTATCCAAAACATTGCTTCAGTTCAGCGTCTTTTGAGGACTTACCATAATGTAAGCTATTGAAGTACTCAGATCCACCCATACGACCCAGTGACGGCTCCCAACGACTGTTAAGTGTACAACAAGAAAAAAAAAGTTCAGAACAGAATGAAGAAATTACAGACATTGCACAGAATTTGGAGATATTTTATGCCTCTACTAGCTGAGAGTCAACAAACAACAACAACAAAACATTTTCCCACTAAGTGGGGTTAGGTGTATGAATCCTAGAACGCCATTGCACTCGGTTCTGTGCCACACCTAGCTGAGAGTCAACATCACAAAAAATTGGTACTGTAGTGATGGAATGCACAGCAATGGCCAAGTTTTCCACGGTTGTTTGGTTCAAAAGGGGGATTGTAAACGTTAAAAGCCAGCTAAGAACAGTATATAGAAGAAAATACAGATAACATAATATTATTTATAACTCTGGTGGAATTGAATTATATACAACAAGATTTTTACTTCTGTCCAGAACACAGTTTGGGACGGTTGAGACCTAAAAAGCAAAAGAAAATAACTCTACTGGCATAACAAACAAAGATCAATCTCAAAAAGTTATAAATGAGAATCCTTAAGGAATAACATAATGTGCCAAGAAGTCCTATGAGAAACGAACTACATACATTGCCTACAAGCAACAGTTAAAGGTAAAGCATACCTGGAAAGCCCACGGTACTTAGAAAGTCCTCTTGAGAAACCACTGCTTTTCCTGCAAGAGTAGAATAACTATGAGACGTGCACATTAATTAATATCCAAATATGTACTTAAAATCGATATACACACCTCCGAAGAGAAGCAAGGTATTCCTCCCTTGACAGATTCTGCATCTCTTCAAGATCCCTTGTGTAATCAGTAACCTGCAATAATTGAAGGAAGAGATAACTTGAACAAATGCTAACCCAATTACCAAAAAGGGAAGAAATTTCAGATGAAGTAAAAACAATGAAATGAAATCAGCAAATCAATGACAATAATCTCACAGGAAAATTGATGAGAGTGCCAGGACCCCAATATTTCAAGGCAGCAAGATCATAAGCTCTAGCTGCAGCCTCTTCATCGTCATAGGCCCCTGTAAATTCCGTATGCTACTTAAGGATTAATAATTAAACCGATAGCTTCACGAGAAATTTCCAATTTCTTAAGTAATTTATGAAAAACTGGCCCCCAACTTACCCAAGTAAACTGGAATACATATCGAAACGTCATGCGCCAACATTTGCATGCACAATCCAAGAAATCAAATGCTTGTCAGAAATTACACATGTATACAATATTTATACACAAACCAAAATACGAGATATATACTACATATACATATATATATTTTAGAGGGAGAAAAGAAAGAAGAGAGACCTTGCTTTCCCTTCTTATTCTGGTTCTGATTCCAAGTACTTTTATCCCAAAGATGAGCCTCATACCGACCTGTCCACCTATGCCTACATTTCCACACCCAAATTCCCAATCAAATCAAATCAAAATTCCTCCTTTTTTTTTTTCTTTTTCTCAGCAACCAAACAGAAAGAGAAAGAGGAGAGGAGCTTAATTACCGAGTGACTCCACGGTAAATGGAGCTGCGTTTTCCAGCAGCACACGGAGGCATCTTGCTGATGCGCTCTTTCGCCGTACATCCTCTCTCTTTCTTCGATTTCTTTACCCCTCTGTACACCATTAGCTGATCGCTCGCCATCACCGCCTCCGACGGCTCTGCACCCCCACCGCCACTGCCGCCACCGCTTTCGGTCTTCGGACCGGGATCCGAGGACGACGACGCCATGATTGAAGACTCCAATTGAACCCAAACTAAAACCCTAGAGAGAGAAATGGAGAGAGAGAAAGAGGGAGATGAGAGACTGAGTGTGAGGGAGTTGTTTGGGTTTTGTTTGTGTTGTTTCAGTGAATCACTGTGGAGGGGAACAGCTACAGTGAGAGAAGATGAAGGGGAGTTGAAATTACGAACGTACCCCTGTTTTGTTTTCGCGATGGCGATCGTGATGATTTGGCAAGTTCAGATTGACAAAAGTTGTAACGGCTAGGATGAGAAGCAGGGTAGCTACGTAATTTAGGATACTTTTCAAAGTGCATACTGCGTGGTAGTGGCGTAACTGCGAATGCCACGTGGTCCGCTCTGTACTTTTTTTTTTTGTTTGGAAGACCCGCTGTACTTTTTATAGTTTGAAATACAGGAGGTGCGACCGCACTTAAACGACAGTGACATCCTAAATTCCCTCTTCGTACACCTCATTGCTTAAAAATTCATCTTCAACCGATGACCGAGTTATAATTTTGTAGAGCCTATTAGGCCATTATTTTGCCAAAATGACATCAGACTGGCCAAATATAGTCCCCACTCTTAGCCCTTTTTTGATGCTCAGCTCCTCAGTTACAATAATTGATTCAAATTCAACGGCTAGTTTTGAAAGAATTCAAGGTAGTTTAATAAAATTAACCAATAAATTTAAAGTATAAACTTAAAACTAATAAATTATTGAGGAAATATGTTTAATCCATTCGGTTAGAGATGATATATAAGTATAACATGACAATGTTCATTTAAAAATAATTTTTTATATAGCTCTAATTCTAGACGGGGCTATATCTAGCCATTTCGGTTGGAGATGGCCTATCCAATTAAAATGGCTATGAGTCTAATTTTTTGTTTGGTGGTGTTAAATGTGTCTTGGACAAGATAGATTATGATAGGTTATATTCCGAAATAAAGTGGGTTATGTAACCCAACCTCACACACAGGGTACAAGTGAAAGAGCGTGTGGGTTGTAACAGAGAAGCATACACATGAAGAAAAAAAAGAGAGCTCTAAAGTGTCAGTTGAGGAAGTCTGAAAGTGTTGAATAGTGTAAATAAAGTTGTAAACATCGTTGTAATTATGTCTAATAGAGTTATAAACTTGTGACTTCTGTCCAATCTCCTGTGTTCCAAAGCTAATGTTGATGTTCCCTTCAGCTCATTCGCATCGGAGTTGGAATTTTGTTGTTAGATCAGTTTGAACAATTTCTTTCAGCCGCATTGGCTAAAGCTGCATTTCATCTCTTGCGTTAGCAGCACAAATTGTGTGGAATCAATCAAAATGTGAAATATATGGCAAACTAATTAAACAAACAAAAAACATGAAAAACGAATAGGTCCTTTCTCCTTACATACTTATTTGATACGTGTATTATCATCTTCTTCACCTAGTCTCCTAATACGGTCTCACCAGATATCAAGTTTACGCGTTCTATCATATTATTGTTTTACTACAAGAGTGCACCACATTCTCATAATTAACAAGCACTGCCCACGAAATGCCTTAACAGATCAAATTACTAATCGATGTTCTAAATTCTATTTAAAACTACACAAATCTTGTGTATTTATGAATAGTAAGTAACTGGAGGTGTTAGACTACTGATAGAAACCATTACCTACAGCTACTGGTTCACAGCAATTTAGCATTAGTAGAATATAAAGAATTAATCAAATAGAAAAGCAGTACCTCCTTCCTAATGGAATCACTTTGAGGCAGTTAGCAGCTACACATTGTGAGGTAGTTGGCAACGCAGCATCCAGTTACCACCATATATGCAATACTACCAACCATTACTCCAGATGTTAATTTCCCTATCACCCCGACAGTGTCCAGAGACTTGCCAGATTTTTTCCCCTGCATTCTATGATTAGCTGAAGTAATTGATCTGAAGCTCCATTACGTAGAAAGCGATCAGAAAGTGCAAGAGCAAGATGAACATACTATCAGTGACTGGAAACAGTAATGTTACCTTAAATTTCAGTACGACGACCATACTATCCCAAAACCAAACAAAAGATGAACAGAATAGCCTCCCATAACACCCCTTCCCACCAAAGAAAAAAAAGGGAAATTGCTGTTAATATGCTCCCCAAAAGCAGATAATTCATGCATGAGAACATAAAGGTATTTGAAAAGTCGTCTTTTCAGTCCCTTTCTTCTTTAGAACCAGAACTCGCCATACTATCATGCTCTTTTTCTACTGGAAGATCTCTGAGTATGAAGTCATTCCATTTGAAATTGATTAAGAAATGCCAGTTCCAGCTCAGAATTCAAAGTAAATAGGCCAACATGTATTGCAAAAATACATCTTTACACAGCTAGATAAGAAGATAAACTAGAAGTCAACTAAAGGTACTCCCTTAAACACATGCTTCGACGGCCACAAGTGAACTAAGATGTTGTAATATACAATAATTCATCAGAAACCGAAATATGCAAACTACGAAAATCAAGAATTTTGTAGCTTTCAAGTAAAGAAAGTCTAAGCCAAACAGATCATTACACATAATCAAGAACAAATCATGTGTATTGCTTTTTCTCCAACATTTTATTAAAACCAAAGGGAATTAGAAAACAGGATGAACAAGATATCCGCCAGGAACACAACAACAAAGACAAAGTTAAACCAAACAGGATGTTAGACATACAGACATTCATCATAACAAATAATTGGTAACTGAAAACCATGTACGTAAATTGCGAGTATTGCAATTTCAACTACTTTTTGTAAAAGGGATTTACAAAGTAAGTACATATATCGACACTAATCCTAACAAATACAGAATCAAAGAATACTAAAGAATTAATGAATCATAACTAGAATCACAAAATTTTATTTGACAAAGCAGCATCAAAATCGGGTCGCTCATTGCACATGGAGTTTATATCGGCAGTTGGGACACGTCTTCTTATCCATGTTGAACCAGCGAAGGATGCAAGATGGGTGATAGACATGAGAGCACGGCATCCGAATGAGCTCACTCGCGGTTCCATCAGACAATTCTTCCAAACACACACTGCAAGAACCCAGGTCGCCGTCACCCCTTTCGAAATATCTCTCTGCCCCCAATTTATCAACCACAAAGTCCAACGAAATTGACGACGAAGTTGAACCGCCATCACTACTACCAATCGAAAGCAAAGCCATTGAGTCAGACATATCATCAAACAGTTGGTCGACATATTCAATGGTCAGGATTTTAACCGTAGCCACCATAACAAAGCCCATGGAGCCATTAGGGTTTGCAAATTTCCGAGCCATGGATTTGATCCAGGGGGCTAATGCTTCGTAGATGGCAGGATCAAGGTTGAGGGAAGAGGAGAGAGATCGTAAGTGAGCGCGCAACTCGGGGAGTAAGAGTTGGCGGGGAGCGAAACGGAGTGTAGCATATCGATCAGGACCCAGTGGAAATTCATCAAGAATAAAGGCGTGGAAGCGTTTCTGAAAAATCTGGTATTGATGGAGAGAAAGCTCGCCGACAAATTGGGACTTAGAGTCCGCCGGAGATTGGAAACCCTGCAGCGTCACATGGACCCAGTAGTCGGAAGATCGGAAAGAGAACGACGAACGCTGAAACTCCATTGATCGATTAGAGATTTGAGATCAGACGACCAGAGGTTTGAAAAATTGAAACTTGAAATTCGTTGAGTGGGAGAGCGAGAGAGAGAGAGAGAAATGAGAGATTTGAGATCGCTGGAGAAGAAGGAAGAAATAAGGGCGGGTGAGACAGACAGAGACTCCGCATATTAGTTTTATAGCCGTTAGCTTCTGGGTTTTTCAGGTCGGTTTGGGCAAGTCGGTTTGGGCGTACATTTGGCGCTGATTTTTGAATTTTGTGGGGATTTTTTTATTTTTTAAATCCCCTTTTTTGGAATAATATTTTTAAAGGTAATGCTAGGAGACCAATTTTTTAAATTAAATTTGTAAAGCAAATGGTGTGATGGTTGATTATTGGATTATTACATAAATGTTGATTAACGTACTTATTTCTTATTTGTTACACATCATTTGATTTGAAAATTTTAGTTTAAAAATTTAATCTTCATAGCATTATCCCTTCTCTAATGGCCATTCTAGTCCTTTACTTCTATTTAAGGCGAATAATTCTAGGGCTCATTATGGTCTTCTAGACTTCAAAAAGTAACCTAATTTTGAGAGTTTTTTAGTTGTTGACTATTGAATCTTTACATAATTTCTTTGTTTTGTTGTTATCGAATACGTTGATGGCTGCACATGGCCTTTTTGCAGTGGCAAAAAGAAATATAAAAGGATGTAAGGCTAACAAATTATGCGCACGGGTGTGGATTCCCACCAACTTTGGGACCGAGCAAGGCGCTCGGTACACGTTGTCCCAAGAAAACATGCAAGTGTACCTGAACGGATGTCATTGTGTCACCATGTATCGACTAAAGGGTGGAGAAATAGCTAGCAAATCATACTTACGTATTTGGCGCATTAAATGCGAAAGCGGTGGAAGACTTAAGCCTAGGGACTTGGGGCTCATCGAGGGTAAGTACACCTTAGAATGAGTCAAACAAAAAGAGAGAGACTTGTTTATGCCGACTGCTCTCTGTAACGTTTCATTCAATATATACAAGTGACTTAGTGGACATAGCCTAGTTTTGAGGGGTGAACCAAACTTTATTGTTCATTTCTTATCATTGCGATCCCGAGCCCACCAAGGGCCGACTACACGACCATACTGGTCTTTGTTGACCTCCTAATTTGAGCGTTAACAAGGTTGAGATTGCAGGTTGAGAATCGAGATTGCAGATTGGGGTTCCGATTGCAAATTTCACTTGAAGGCCCGATACCCATCCCGAATTGAAAAATCGAAACCATTTCTGTAAAATCGATTCGATTTCAATTTTTTGCCTACTTTTTTCGGTTCGCTTTTAAGACTTGACGGCCACAGATGGTGCCTCATCGTAGTAATAGAAAACAATCATGTCTATGTATTTTGGTTCTTGTTCAACACACACCAATCTCCCTCCCCTAACAACTAACACTATCGTTTTGAAAGGAAAAAAAAACCGCAATAGTTATTTCATGTTAAAGAAAACAAATACGTTGATCTGATCTTCTATGCCCATGGAAGGATTTTCATGTTAAAAATTTCAAGATTCTAAAAGATGCTGGACGTTAGTCGGGCGGCGAGTTGGGGCCTAGCGCCTAGGCGGACTAGGTGGATTTAAGTAAATCTATTATATTTAGTGTAAATAAGTGTTTGTTTATACTTAAAATATATATAATTTCATTATAAACTACAAAATAGAATGACATATATATTATGAAGTATTGGACATAATGAAAACATGGGGAACAATCATATAATGTGTGTTTATTTAAGTATTCAACAAGTCTTTACAATTTATTGAAAAAAATAAAATGCAAAATGAAAGCTATCTATTTTCTGTTTAAGTGAGTTGCAACCCAGTTGGTGCCTAGACAGGTCTGGGCGGGCTAGGCGGGCGCCTCAGCAAGTTTAGGCGCAATTTCTTAATTTCCAAACGTCTAGGCATTAATCGGGGGGGGGGTGGCCAGTTGCCTAGCGCCAAGACGAGACCTAACTGGCGCTATTACCTCTTTGAATGTAACAAAAAATTATTTATAGTTTGGCAGGCCTTTCAAAAATTATAGTAACAAAAACCACAAGAATAGAAGTTTAGAATTCGTCCATGAACTTGTACCCGAGTTTAGAATTATTTCTTTAATAAAATTCCGTTAATTTACCTCTTTGAATGTAACAAAAACCACAAGAAATCTTTATTCAAGAAAAGGAAATTAAAAAACAGGATGAACAAGGTATCCCGGCAGGAACACAACAACATAGACAAAGCTAAACCAAACAAAGTATGTAAATTGTGAGTATTGCAATTTCAACCACGTTTTGTAAAAAGGATTTACAAAGTAAGTTACACATATCGACACTTATCCTAACAAATAAAGAATCAACGAATACTAAAGAATTGATGAATCGCAAACTTTTATTTGACAAAGCAGCAGCAACATCCACATGGAGTTGATATCGGCAGTTGGGACACGTCTTCTTATCCATGTTGAACCAGCGAGGGATGCAAGATGGGTGATAGACATGAGAGCACGACATCCGAATGAGCTCACTCGCAGTCCCACCAGACAACTCCTCCAAACATACACTGCAAGAACCCAAGTTGTCGTCTCCCCTTTCGAAAAATCTCTCTGCCCCCAATTTCTCAACCACAATGCCCATGGAGCCATTAGGGTTTGCCAATTTCCGGGCCATGGGTTTGATCTGGGGGGCTAGTGCTTCGTAGATGGCAGGATCGAGGTTGAGGGAAGAGGAGAGAGATCGTAAGTGAGCGCGCAACTCGGGGAGTGAGCGAAACGGGGCGTAGCGTAGCGATCATGACCCAGTGGAAATTCATCGAGAATAAAGGCGTGGAAGCGTTTCTGAAAAATCTGGTCCTGACGGAGAGAAAGCTCGCCGAAAAATTGGGACTTAGAGTCCGCCAGAGATTGGAAACCCTGCAGCGTCATATGGACCCAGTAGTCGGAAGATCGGAACGAGAACGACGAACGCTGAAAATCCATTGACATCGATCCGAGATTTGAAAATTTGAATCTTGAAACTTGAAATTTGATGAGCGAGAGAGAGAGAGAGAGAGAGAGAGAGAGAGAGAGAGAGATGAGAGGTTTGAGATCAATGGAGAAGAAGGAAGACAGAGAATCCGCGTGCTGGTTTTATAGCCGTTAGCTTCAGCTTTAGGCATGTCGGTTTAGGCGGACATTTGACGCTGATTTTTGAATTTTGTTGGGTGTCTTTTTTTTTTTTTTTTTTTTTTTTTTAAATTTTTTTTAAGGCCGTTCTAGTCTTTTAATTCTCTCTTTTTTTTTTTCAAATAAATTTTGAGGCTGTTTAATTGCTAGTTATTGAATCTTTACATGATTATGTCATAAATGGAGATGTTAAACGGCCATTATAATAAGCAACCAAATATGACCGTAACTTTATAATGTTGTCAAAGAAAATATCTTAATAAGTTTCTTAGGTTGAAAAACATGGCCAACCAAATATGACCAAAGAAGAATGAAAACCTCTATATAAAGAGGTACTTGCATCATTGAAGAACACAACACAAAAAATAGAGAAAATTCATGTAAGCTATGCCAATGCTAGAGAGGTAGAGAAAAAAAAAGTGAGGGTCATCTTTGTACTCCCATTATTTCAGATAATGAGAGAAAATACTACTGCTGTTCTGAGGCCATAGGCACACTTGTCAAACCTCGTAAATATTGTGTCTTATTTACTTTATGTTCTACTGCATACATATCCTCAATTTCACAACAGATTTCTTATTTTGTTTGTTATCGAATACTTTGATGGCTGTAGATGACGCTTTACTACTTTGCCAAAAGTAATCATGCTCATGCACTTTGGTGTGGATTCGTCCCCATTGATCGCCCTCCCCAAAACAACTAATAATTTAACAAACTAATGTTGTCGTTTGTCAAAGAAAAAAAAAACCTTGGTGGCCACATTAGTAATTTCATGTTGAAGAAAATAATAAAAGAAAAAATCTTGATGGCGACCAATAATAAAAAACTTGCAACGGCTGCCTAACGTGGCGACACAATAACCGTTGGATTTTCAACGGCCTGATGATCTAAAAAGTCAGATTCAATAATAAAAAGAAAAAAAAATAATCAAACGGCAATGATTAATTCAATCGTTAAATATGGAAAACAAACATAAGAAAATAAATGAGAATAAAAAGAAAAAGGTTAGGAAAAAGTATCCAACCATCTTCTTAATTCACCTTTTATGTTTAGTTACCTATGATTGTTGCAACGCTATGTTTTGCTTTGTATTTGAAATTAAACTATCAGAGTTAAACATGGAGTTTAATTTTCAAAAAACAAACTTACATAATTTACACTTACAAGGCATAACATAATAATGTATATGTAAATAGTAATCACCCTTGTCCTTGTCCAAGCCCAACGAGTGGAGGAGTTGTCCAAAGACAATTACTTTTCAGACGGTAATTACCCTTACCTTGTCCTCCTAAAACGGATAGACTTGCACAATAGTTTGTTCCAACTAAACAAAGAGACCGAAGTTCCGACTTGGAACGAAAAAATTAAAATTTGAGAGCTAAGTTAAACAACTTCAAATGAGAGATTATAATTAAATCAAAGGGTAAAAGATTGTTTACTACCCTAATGTTTCGTGGTTTTCAACATTTAGTACATCAAGTTTTTTTCGTCTCAGAGTCATACCTAAAGTGTAAATTTTGGGACAGTCTCATACATCCGTTAGTCAAACTGTTAAGTTTTTCGTTAACTGTAACGTGGCGCACTGATTGGGCGCCACGTGTCATCCACGTTGTTTTTTTTTTTTCTTTTTTCTTTCTTTTCTTTTCTTCTTCTTCCTTCTTCTTCTTCTTCCTTCGACTGCAACTTTCTGTTTTTTTTTTTTTTTTTTTTTTTTTTTTTTTTTTTGCTTCTTCCTTTTGCTTCTTCCTCAAAAAAATAAAAAATAAAAACACTTTCATCTTCCCCCAAATTCGGAGGAAGAAGAAGAAGAACGAAGAAGGGGAAGGAAGAAGGAGAAGAAGGAGGAAGAAAAAAGAAAAAAAAATTGAATCTGGGCAGATTCGGAGGAAGAAGAAGAAGAAGAAGAAGAAGAAAGGAGGAAAGAGAAAGAAGAAGAAAGGAGGAAAGAGAAAGAAGAAGAAGAAGAAGAGGAAGAAAATATAAAAGTGTTTTTTTTTTTTTTTTTTGAGGAAGAAGAAGAAGGAGGAAGAAGAAGAAAGAAAGAAAAAAAAAAACAAACTTCCCCAGATTTCGGAGGAAGAAGAAGAAGAAGAAGAAGAAGAAGGAGAAGGAAGGAGGAAGAAAAAGAAAGAAAAAAAAAAAAAAAAAAATTCCCCAGATTTCGGAGGAAGAAGAAGGAAGAAGGGGAAGACAGGGAAAGGAAGGAGGAAGGAAGGAAGAAGGAAAAGGAAGAAGCAAAAAAAAAAAAAAAAAAAAAAAAAAAAAAAAACAGAAAGTTGCAGTTGGAGGAAGAAGAAGAAAAGAAAAGAAAGAAAAAAGAAAAAAAAAACGTGGATGACACGTGGCGCCCAGTCAGTGCGCCACGTCACAGTTAACGAAAAACTTAACATTTTGACTAACGGATGTATGAGACTGTCCCAAAATTTATACTTTAGGTATGACTCTGAGACGAAAAAAACATGATGTACTAAATGTTGAAAACCACGAAACATGAGGGTAGTAAACAGTCTTTTACCCTAAATCAAAAATCCACTTTAACAATCCATCTTTTCTTCTTTATCAAGTTGCCTCGTCTACAAGAGAACTACAAGATCACAAGAAAACACAAATAAAATTGCACGGTGTATACCACCAAATATTTAAATTAAACAAACATATCAAACACAAAACACATGTAGGGGAAACAAAAAATGGGTACATAAAAGCCGTCAAGCTAATCCCTAGACCCAAATATAGCAAGAATCAGCTTCCACTAAACCAAGGCATTTGCTTCAGGTTTCTCCGAAAGGATCGGAAGTACGAAAGCCAATCCTACTCGGGCCCTAGATGGAGAGCAAGATGCCACATTGCCATATCTTTAAACTGCAAAGCTCCATGTGAAAAAGAAACTCATGGGTAATGTTATGGGGCAGGAAGGTGCAGGTTTTGTTACGCTCCACATATGCAGGAGCAATCCCATATCGAGGAAATCCCTACTGAACTATCTAGTTTTTTCTCCCAACCTTCTTGTGTTTGAATGATTTGGATGAAGTGTGAGGTCTAGGCATTGCAGCTGCATCCTTCCTCGTATTTGTGCTATCCGTCTTCCTCTTGAAGCCACTTGCGGGACCTTTACTATATTTCTCTTTATTTGTCTTTCCACTTCTTTCTGACTCGTCTTTATTTGATTTTACTCGATCAGATTGCCTACCTTTATTAGTCCACTTGAATCCATCACCGCCAGAAGTATGAAGGTCGTTGGTTCTCTGGTTGTTAGGAATGTGTCTCTTCAACCTTTTCATCTCTCTATGTTCCATTGATCCGTTCTTTTCATGTGGCTTACCAAATCTCTTGCGCTTTTTATCCTCCGTCCTTTTAAAAAGAGTTCCAAGAGAAATGAGTAGATGTAAACTACAAAAAGTTAGTGTATTGGACAGTAAAACAGATCGTACAAAAATATCAGACCTGTTGGTTGTAGTGTCTGCATGACCCGTGTCTATATCGGTTGCTGCAACTTCCTTGGAAGATTTCTTGTTATGGCGGCTCTGCAGTAAGATTTGCAATGTAAAATCAATTTCTTATTTGGTTCAACTAAATATATATGTGTGTATACGTGTGTATGTATACACCCACACACACAAATATATTCATATTTTCTCTGTGAAATTTACAATGTAAAATTTGACGGAGTAATAGGAAAGAATTCCAGATCATGTATTACGAAGCTCAATTCTTGCAGGATTTGTTCCAGCATGAGTACCCCAAACTTAACCACCAAAACCGTTTAATACATGGAAACTAAAAAAATTACCTCCACAATGCCCTTCAGGAAACCCTTGTATTTATCAGGTGTAGCAAACTGAACTGATGCAGTACCGCACTTCCTTAACAAAATCTCTATTATGACTGTAACCTGTAGGTAAAATGGTGCTGATTAAGGTGCCAAAAGTAAAAATATTTGCAAACATAAATATGTGTGTGCATTTGTCCAGGCACTAAAAGCATTATTGCTAAATCTGTACGTGCCTTTGATCTGAAATGATGTCTCGAAACTGGTGACCATGGGAGAACTGCATTGACAATATCAGGAAGAAGCCGTTGCAGAGGTCTAGTCTCTAAACAGGATACTAGTACTTTTACAAAGCCCAAAACAGCCTGTTAAATGTGTAGCAACAAACTCATTAGCATTTCAGGCCCAGCAAAAACAATCAATAGACGAAAAAACACTAATAGTGATCAGAAGTAATGACACTCACTTTTATAACTTCTAAAGCTTTCCCTTGCAACAAAGATAAAATAGAGGGAACAAGATCGGGCATTGAAAGACAAATATCTGTATCTTTATACACCAGCACTGATAGCACAGACACTGCTCCACTCTTTATGTGAGGTGATGCACCGGTAAGATAGCCCATTATCTGAATATTATAAAATAATAAGTCGATAAACATAAGCAGAAAAAGCTCATCCAACAAGAGCATAACGCAGGTAAGCATGCAAAGCATGGAGCAAGCTAATTTCCATTTGCTACATATTAGTAATATTACTTATATAACGAACAAGAAACTAAAGAGAACAAGAAACTAAAGAGGTTTCAATTTGATGCAACATTTTACTCATATCTTGCTTCTTTTGAGAAAATAGAAGAAGCAAGAATCCATTTCCACTGCCTAAATAGTAAAATAGGTTAATAGAGTATAAACGCAACAGGAGGAAACTAATTTACGATCAAATCAGGAAACCAAGCATTATGGGAGTCCTAATCATAATATATTTCTATTTCCAACACTCGCCTAAAGCTGGGGCAAGAATGTTGATCATGTTCAGCTTGTCTTTTGAGAAAGTAACGATTATATTAAAACCCGAAAGAGGGAAGAACGGAGGAGTGGTCAAGAAGACCATCACAGACAACCAGAGCCACTCAACCACAAAACCTCAGAAACATAATAAAGAACTTAACAAAACAATAACTAAAACTACTAAATAATTCAGATATATACATATGAATGTAATCTAGTCAAGCAATTTAACAATATAATAAAAAATAAATTTTTATATCTAAAATGACTACTAAGTAATTGTTTTGGACCTCGGCCCCTAATAACTAAAACAAATCACTCTTCAAAATGGAGGGACCTTAGGCTATGTTTGGTTGAGGGACTTCGAACCATTAGGCCAAGTTAGCATTGAATGGATTACAACATGTTAGATATAGGGATTTAGAAATGCACTTCATAAGCATTGAAAAAAGCATGAGAAAAGGGATTTGCAAATGACTACATGGAAGGAGTCATTTACAAATCCCTCATACATGCCTTTGTGAAGGTCAGAAGTGCATTTGTGATCACCCTTTGTAGTCTCTGTCTTCCTCACTTGGCCTAAATCCCTTGGGACTTAAAAGTTCCTGACCCAATCATAGCCTTGGAGTTTCATATTCCTCCGTCTCACTTCTATACCAATCATTTGAGTAGAGTACATACCTACCATACTCGGTCACATAATCGATGAAGCAGCATGCACTAGATTACATGTCAAGAACTTGAACTGGGATAAGTGAACCCCTTACCATATTAATTAATTTCTGGTAAGGTCCATCTGAACTGACACACGATGGATCTCTCAAGCTAACACTTATTTTGAGGAGTACATCGTAAGCTGCCTCCCTGACTGCTTCATCCTTGGCCTACGAATCAAAAAACACTAAAAATTATTAACAGATCCATTGTCTCGTATTCAGAAGCTGTGCCTGATAATCAAATACAGAAGATTCAAAAGGCTCATATTCTAAGTCAGACTCGAAAATTCATAGAGAGTAAGCTAGGCAACCTCAATAAGATGGAACAACACAACAAGAGTAATAACAAAAGGATATGTCACAACGTTAAGCAAATCATCACTATCCTACACGTAGTTCTTACATCTTTTAACTTGAGTATGATCTCATTGAGAATAAGAAACGACTTTGAATTTTCTACCTCTGAGTCTATCTGCAAAAATCAATTACAAAGGTTAAACAATATATTCAATTGATCACTAATCCCACAAAAACTCTCACAGTTGCACATGTATGGCAGAAAAAGAATACATGTTTACACAGAATAACTATAGGATGCTGACAAAAGTAAGGTATTGAGAACCTTTTATTTTGAAGAAATGAACAAATAAGAAATGATTATACATATACAACTATAGCTGGTACAAAAGCATAAGACCTCGGATACTCAAGAAATTGATGCCAAGTTCTTTGATTTAAAATGACAAAAGTCATGGGCTCACGCGCTTGGTTACCAAGATACATACATGTTTATTATCAAAATACAAACAAGTTTATTACCAAGATACGTCCATAACAGAGTTTTAGACCTCGGACACTCAAGGAAGTGATGCAAAGTTCTTTGATGTAAAATGACAAAGCTCATAGACTTGGTTAACAATTTTCCACTCCACACGAATAGTATCACTGAACGGTATTGCTTCCATGTCATCTTTCCCTGCCTTCTAAAGAATACCCTCAACCTCAACAAGTGGACACCCATAACCCATCGAAAACAAACCTCCGGCTCAATTGATACTAATAAACAATACCCTCTATATATCTATATTTCTCTAATGCACAGAAAGCTGCATGTGTGCACGTACAACATAACAAACGTCTCTGAAACAAATCAAGACTTCTATTACTCTATCAAGACAATGGCACAATTTCAATATTTCTAAATGATAGATATGAATGACATTCTTAAACAGAATCACAGATAAATCTGACCTTCAAAGTATGAATCATTAAAGTCTGGAAACTAGCAAAGCGACTCCTTAGAGATATGATATCAACAGGAGATCTCAAACCAAGTAGCAGATCAATCAATTCAGCAAACCGAGAAGAACAGAACCAATCATGCTCCTGCATTAGGTCAATACAAACAGGGATAAGGAACTTCAGCCATGAACATAGCATGTCAAGAGCATTACCTATGAAAATTTTAACAAAGATGAGAATGCATACCTCTAGAATTCTGCTCAAAGTATGATATGCTTCATAAATGGCGATCTCATCATCGTTCTAAACACAAAATTATGTTAGAACTTTAGAAATAAAAAAGTAACAGTTACAATACAATGTATGAATCAAAAACATGTCATGAAACGTTAAAAATCAACTTTACCAGTAAAGTATCTTTAGCAAACGTATATATTAGATCAATAAGATCCTCATTGGCTCCTTTAACAAAAGAAGATGCTAATTCCATCATCACGCATCTGTAGGAATACAAAACAAATTTAGTCCAATTATTTACAAAAATAAAATAAAATAAAAAAAATTTGATGATATCATCAATACAATTATCACGAGAAAGAAATAGTCATCATAGTTCCCTCAAAAAATAGTTATCAAAGCTCCTTTAGACATATTAACATTTGCATAGACTCCATGTTTGCCATAACACTCCTAATTCAAGCATTCCAGAAATTGCCTCAGAAATTTACATGGTATCCAGTGGAAGTGCTTTTCAAGGAGAACTTCTAATTTGGAACTAAAGATAATAAAAGGTCGTACCCAGTGCACAAGGCTCCCGCTTTACGCAGGGTCTGGGAGAGGTGAATGTCGGCTAGCCTTACTCCCATTTATGGAGAGGCTGCTCCCAAGTCTCGAACCCGACACCTACCGCTCATGGGCGAAGGCACTTGCCATCGCACCAAGTGCGACCTCTGAACTAAAGATAATAGAAAAGAAAATTAAAGTCGATGCTGCTCATTTAAGAAAAATCACTCGCAACAAAATGTGTCATTTTTTCTGAAACTTAGAAACTGTATTTCAAACAAAAAACCTGAACACACAAGTAGACAAGTAATCCAACATGAGCAGACAAGAAAAACATTAATTGAAAAAACTACATCTATCTTAAGACACTAGTTAATCATGAGGCAAAAGAGCCGCCCAACACTCGACCTTCTCCCACACCACCTCCATCCATCTCCAAGGCATCATCAATTCTTTCTTGCACCCATTAACCTACTCCTAACACACAAAATGTTGATTGACTGAACCCCAATTTAAAAAATAAATAAAAATTATTTGACCTCAAAAGAAAAAGAAGAAAAATCCCAATAGCTGTAAGGACATTCAGAAGAAGGATGGCTTGAGAATTCATCTAGCCAATGCCATTTTTTTTATGATAGCTAGCTAGTGCTGTTATCTAAAAGAACCTCATTAAAAATTTAAACATCTAACCAGGAGAGAGTTAAAAATGTGTACATGAAACTAAAACACTAGGATGCAAACCCAATAAAATCAAAATGAAAGCAAAACAAGGTTATCATGCTCTTGAACAAATGTAAGACTCATTTTTAAATTTTAATACAAGGGCATGTCCTGAAAATGAAACAATGCACACTGAGCTTGCTATTTAGAGAATCACAATTCAAACAGACATACCACACTTATGTAAACTTTCTCCACTTTTATATAACGTGAAACAGGAGTCCCTAGCTTACCGCAGAGCATCTTTCTCTCTAGTACTTAGGTTGTGTTCTTCCTCACCAGCTGATGCATCAGTCTGACTCTCCAACTTTCCAAGCTCATGCCTACTATCTTTGAACTGGAACTTCTCAAGCAATGATATAAAAATCTTCTTGGCATTGGAAGAATCAGTTACTGAAGCCAAGCATCCTATGGCATCCTGGAAAAATTAGAATACAAATAAGTCAAGTCAACATGGAGAAAGATTATTTGAATCAGCATGGCGAAAAAAATATACATAAGATGTCCGTTTAATCCAGGTTAGTTAATTCTGGTCCAAAGTTTCTGAATTAACATAGCATATCACAAAATTGAGGACAGTGAACCAAACCTAGTTGTCCAAAGCATTTCACCTAATTGAAGGCATTAGTGTTCCTCATAGTAAAAACAAACCAGCTAAATCTAAGTTGGTTTGAAACATGCTAACAATTTCTGGCTAATTAATGAAGTTTAAACAAGGGATGAATGGAGAACCTTTAGATATAAACGCTTCTCAGGGGGTGAATAAAGAAATAAGTCTGTTAGAGCAATAAGCAGCTCAGAAGAACATGATGTCAAAGCCTTAATGTTTCTGGTAGCAGTTTTCTTTGAATAAGTGGGTAAGTTGCCGAACTCTAACAAAGATTTGTTTACTGCATAGGACTTCGTGTCACCAGCACCATCTTTTTGGTCAAGTACACTTTTGTTCTGATTCACAAGAACCTGGACATCAAAATATAATAAGAACGTGAATAAATAAATAAACTTCAAGTGAACCATATGAATTCTAATTATTATGAAGGAAACATCACCTGCAAGGCAACTGCAATATTTTCATGCATTAAGGAGTCCTTAAGAAATGTTACTAAAATCTCAGCCAACGGTCGAAATTTTTGGCATATATCAGTTGGAAGATTACAGAAAGCAGGCAGCAATCCCAACAGATCACGTGCACGAGCCTGTAGATCTTGACTGGTTATTGACTTTTTAACTGGAAAAGGAGGAGCAAAAGAGAATGTAATGTCCAGAAATGGGTGACTTATGTGAAATGGTATATTACTTTATGGAAACCATCAAAAAGTAAAAAAGAAAAAAAAAACCATAGAAAAGAAAAGGGTTTGTGACAAATTAATTCCTCACTTCATTGAACTTGTACCCCATAGTAAGAAAATCAAACCCAAAAAGGGAAAAGGCTCAACTCATGGAGAGGTCGTGAGTCGTGACAAATATTAAACATATTTTGAAGAAAGCTTCAACACTAGAAATAAAATGATCCCTGTTCTTGTACGGTCTGAGTAAACTCTAGAGATACTTCTAGTTCACAATGTCTTGTATGGTTTTGTTTCATAAAATTGTCTGGTTTCCAACCTAAAAACGATAAAAACAAAAACAAAAGAACCAGCAAGCAGGATCACTAGTATTTTCATGTTATGTCTTTTTATTCTCATGTGATTTGGATGTCTCTTCTAATGAGTTGAATGGCTAGGCTTTAAATTGAATTGTATGTCACGAGCGAGGTTTTGCAATTTTTATGTGTTTGTATGAACATCATTCAAAGAGAAAAAAGATAATTATGCCAAAAAAGAGGCTGAATAGATAAAGACTTGGAATGATAAAACTAAACCCTGTTAAAGCATTACAGCTGCAAACACATAAATCCAAATATGCAAGTTTACCAGTTAATTTTGTCTCATATATGAATAGTCTGAAGAAAATACCTTTACCACTGGCCCGACAAAAGGAATTTGCAAGAGGCATAATATGCTCCATATAGTAACCAAGTGATGCTCCAACAACATAATCTTTCAAAATAGGTACCAACCAAATGTTTGAACAGGTGAAGTCACTAGCATTGAGAGATATAGGAACAAGTTCAAGTATCCTCTCAGGTCCAATTGCAATTACAGCAGTTCCAATACACTTCTGAAGCTGCAATTATAAAAGGGATATCAATCATTTTTAAATTGCCACCATTACAAACCCAGAGATTATGTTACAACATCCTCAAACATGGAATTGTTTCTCAACCTGATAGAACAAATATAGTTAACTCCGTGAGGTGCAATCATCTAACCCATTTTAGGACTTCAGTTGTCCGTATTGAATCTAATCGCTAAAAACAAATTATTAAAATAGGCCATTGATGAAGAACAATTATTTTTTATAAGAGGACAAGTAAAACAACAAATCCTTAAATACAGGCCATATAGTTGGTAATCAAATGTGTGCGAGAGTGTGTAAAGTTATCTGGCCACTGGAACAGAAGCTAAAATTGCAAGTCTAATATAAAACTACCACAAACCAAACCAAACTAAAAACAGCGGTCGAAGTATAGAATGATCATTTCATCAACTAATACTCTGATTTTATCAAAATTTTGAGCTAATGCTTACTTTTTTATTTCCGGTGCATTTTTTAGCACTTCAGTACGAACATATAATTCTTGTGTGTGTATTTGTGGGGGGAATGGGGGGCTTTACCCCTAAAAACAATGAATGAATATTTTCAGAACCCACTACACATAACTACACTTGAAATGAACATGAAATGGAAAGTTGGATCTAGGACTAACAAGCAACAGATTATGGGATTCAATAGAATTCGGAATTGCTCAAATTTATAATAAAAGTATAAGAAAACAAAAATGAGAAAAAAGATGACAAACTATAGATAAGAATTGGCAGTTTGCACCAATTTCCTATCATTATTACAAATGTCAATTATTCCACTCAGACTTACATGATCGGTGTTAGATTTGTCCCCACTAGCAAGGGTCATTGAGTTGGCAAGGTTGAGAAGAATATTTCTCATATAGACATAGGAGATTCCTCCTATAACCAAAAATCCAAAGTAACTATTAGAAATTAACTTACAAGAACGAAACAATGTAAGATGTAAATTAGTGACAGCACTTCCAACCAATTGGAGAACAAAAATTTTAAATTGTTTAGTTCCAGAAATGGAATGACACAACCATAACAATTAAATGACAAACAATTGTGATATACCGAAAGAGTGTGCAAGGCCATGAAATTAGTTGACTAAACTGCAAAATTAAAAATTAAATAAAACAAATACTATCGACAAATGCAATGCGTTTTCAACAATGAACTACAATAACTAACTCAAAAGTTAGCAAAGCATATGAGTGTAGCATTCAACCAAAAGAATAAAAGAAATAATAATAATTTGGCTATGCAGTAGTTCTATAAATCTTTGTCAAAAGAAATCATGCAAATGACCAATTTATCCATACCGAGCTTGAGGAACAATGCCGATATAACCCCCAAAAGATGCTCATTTGGCACTCCTTTACAAGTTCTAAGGGCATCCTCAAAAGCAGTACAGATTGATATTAGTGCACTTGCTTTCATAGTCTCTTGTGCTTCATCATCTGAAGGTTGGCTTTCACCCACCAGCAGACTTTTTTGATCCACAAATTGGCTTATCAGCTCTTTAAGAATATCTGAAGCGTGTGATGCAGTGCTAGCCTCAGAAGTCAGAAGACCTAAATGAGTTAAGACAATATGGATTAGAGAACCACTAAAAGCTAGATCAACATTTTTCACAAGTTCATAACATGACTACTATTAGCAACATAAACTATTAAAGCAAACCAGAAGAATAATATATATCTTTGGTAACGAATTTATAGAGAGATGACATATACATGGTTACACATGCTGAGAAAGTTTATTCCTTTCTTATACCCTTCAGGATAGTATGGCACCAAAATCAAACGCTTTACGTCAACTAAACAATTAAGAGCATTTAACGTCTAGCAAACTTGCGAATATAAACAAGTCAGAAAAGAAAAGTACAATAGCTTCATGTATGGCACTGAAACATGTCAGGATAATCAGTGACAATATCTTAGGGAAAAGAATCACCACCAACCATGTCAGGCTGTCGTAAAGAAATATGATATTGAGTAGAATGATGAGATAGTCAATTTCTAAGCACCATGAGAAGAACGCCTTCTATATTTCAACTGAAACAAGACTTGCTAGAGACTACAATAAATTGGCTAGATGTCGAGCTTAATAAAGTAGCATCAAGAAACCTTGAAATAGTAAATACAATAAAGAAGCATACCTGCCACAGAACTACAAACTAGAGGAAGACTATTAATCCACGATGTCGATTCTCCAGCATGAAGTATAAACAAAGAAGATTTTAACAAGGTTGCTGCCAACATGACAGTGTCCGAGGGAACCTCATCTCCCAAAGACACGTATGAAGCAAGAGAAGCTATAGTCGCCTCTGTTTCAGAAACAATGGCATTAGCTCTTGAGCTCTCAAACAACGTTTCAATAATTTGGAGTACATGCCTTGTGAGTGTTGAGAACCGTGAAACAACAAGCTCATTTATTTCTGAGAGAAGCTTTGAACCGACTTTCTTTGACAGAAAGGGAATGGTAAGTTTCACCACATTTAGCATGTGAAGGACCTCTAGATTTTTAGGTCCATCTGATGTCTGTGAAGCACTTAATTCAACCGCCAAAGGCATGTATCCTTTGAGCTTAGACAGTATCAACTTGCTAACCTCCTTGATAACAGTGCGGGACTGGAGCGACTTAAAAACGTTCTCGAGACAGTCTTGAGAACATTTCCGGACCTGCAAAAAGAAATTTAACCACATACTTAGTGTTCCCGCCTTGTGGAAAGGCTGTTTTTGTTTCATTCCCTCCAAATCACAACGGTAACATTACACTAAGGCCCGCATTCTTCAATAATTCCAAAAAAAATATAAAAGAGTAAATATAAATTACTTGAAATGACTTCATATTGGGATCAATTACACGTAAATTGGTAACAATTTTCGAAGTTTCCCTATAGAAGTTAACACTACCAAGCCATTATGCACAAAGCTCATACTTCCTTATGCAGCTGACACCAAGTCTACAGATTTTAAACCCACTTATGCTAAGTATATGTAGTAAATAAATAATTTAACAAGGAAGAAAATAGCAGCAAATACCCTACCTTGGGCCGCCGATCGACGGAAAACTTGAGTAACGTCTCCAATCCCAATTTGATAGATCCCCAATCCTCCAAATCACAAAACCCTACCAAAACCCCCAAGCACTTTACCAAAGCCCTCACAGCGGGCATGGATAGCTCCTCCTCTCTCTTCAGAAGTCCCATCAGCATCGACACAGCCTCGCCCGCCTTGGCCGACGAGACGCTCCCCGGAGGCACCAACGGGAGCACCATGGCCAAGAACGACAACAGCGCCGCTGTGGCAGTGGGTTCTAGGGTCTGGGACGCGGATGAAGACATGTCGTCGATGGAGGAGATGGTGGCAGCGAAATAGGCAGGTGGAGTGAGGGGGAGGGACTCGGCGGCGAGGATGGCGCGCATAGCAGCCGCGGTGGCGAGGAGGTGGCGGTGCTGGGGAGCCGAGGACTTTTTGTAGCGGTCCATGAGCTGTTGGCAAATGTCTGCGACATCGTTGAATGGCTCGACTGCGTCTAGGTCGTGGTGGTGGTCTTCGTCCATGGTGGTTTTTGGTTTCGGACGGTTTTACGGGGTTGCGGAAGAGGACGGGAGGGTTTTAGGGGGTTCGGTTTTGGGTTGGGTAGGTTGGGTTTGAAAAGACCTGTTTGGGTTTCAAATGGATGCCTTGGGCTTTGGGCCTAGAGTAATTTCTAGGTTTGAATACTAAAAGCCCAATTCGCTCGGGAAATCGAAATTCAACGACAAAAAGGCATTTTGAAGGAAGAACCGGATGGGATAATAACTTCCATATTTGACAAGTTGAAGGTTATTTGGTGTTGTGATTCCTGATGATTTTGGTCGGATGGCGAAGAGATTTTTCCATGTGATTGGAATACAAGTTTATCATATGTCATAATATAAGTGATGAGGAGATATATTCTTTTAGGTACACTGAAAAATTTCTTACCGGCAGCCTGTATAAAAATGGTCCAAGATTTCATTTCTCCCCCGAGCTATGAAATGTTGGCAGCAAGGAAGGCCTTGTTTTTGCGGCTGATTTGGGTTTTAGCAAGACAGTGTTGAAATGGATGCTAAAAGGGGGTTTGGAAAGTATATACTTAAATAATAATGTTCGAGGATTATGTAATAATGAGATTATAATCTAAAGAGGTAAGATTTATGAGACATTCTCCCTCATACACATATCTTGAAAGTTTCTAATCGTAGGATTAGCAATTTGGCATTGGCAATTCGTTAAAGATTAGTATATAATGTCTTCTTACTTGAGATAAATGACTAGTCTTGAGTCATTGGTGTGAACGACACTAAGACAAGTATGTAGATGCTCAATAGAATATGAGTTCACTGAACCCGATTGAACGAGAGTTCTTATATGGAAGTTTTACTAACATGTCAAATAAGAAACTCTAAAGTTGCAATAATGTAATTAGTTTTTAGAATCGAGACACCATAGCTTTCTTATGGAGACATCATTAATCATTTGATGATGCATCATAACAACTGGGTTTATTATGCGCATTGTTGGGGTCTTAGACTTATTGTTAGAAGCGCACACCGAGGAATCTCTACCTTCGGTAAAGAAGGAGAATACTCTAAGATATGATTCGGGAATCTTTGCGCAAAGTATTGATTATAATTAAGAGAGTGTCCTAAATTATATTCATTATAAATCATATGAACTTAGTAATCCACATTAGAGTTTGGCATAAGCTCCATGCCCTAATAATGTGATTGTGAGTAGTGGTAGAAGGATCATATTGCATTGTAGTTCCAACTAAATAGGTTATCTATCTTTTCTTCTTAGCTTGGGTAGTCATTACATACTACTAAGCATCACTCATTGCTTTGTGAAAGCCCAGAGGATTAACAATAATTAATTCTTATTGAAGATGGTTTTAATTCATAATCGATTAGTAAGGTTTTAATTGCACACTCCCTCGCTATTTTTTTTTTTTTTGAGAAAATGTACAATGAGGATATGGTGCATACAGTGGGTCTCGATAAAAACCTTGCCGGAGGCGCCACTTTATTTGTCTCCCTTCCACTATATCCAATCTTTCATTAGGGGCAATGATTGAATCATTGAGCAAGTATCCTTTAGAATATTTTCGAACGGCGAATAATCTTCTTGACCTTTGTGTTGAAAAGCTGCCATCACAAGTAATGCATCCCTTTTGAAAACCAAGGCCTGTAATTGCTTCTCCTTGATCAACCAAGTAGCATCCCTAGCTGCCATAGTCTCGGCTAGCAAAGGGGAAGGAATAGCATCATGCCTCTTGCCAAGGCCGCCACAAAATCACCCATATCGTTCCAAATCACCACCCCAACGCCACCAATACTTCTATGTTCATCTTAAGCTGCATCAAAATTACATTTTGACCATCATTCTCTCGGCTTCGTCTATTTTTGAGAAACTTTATAGCTGCGTTTTTCATTTTTCCTATGCTAGTGTTGGAATTCTTTCATCCAACTTATTGCTCGACAAATTAGTTCTTTAGGTTCGAGTGCATTTCCTTGCCACAAAAAAAGTTCATTTCTTCATTCGCCCGAAGGCACTTCATCACCCGCCTGTAGGCATATATAAATCTTCATTCTTCATTCGCCCGAAGGCCCTACATCACCCGACTAAAGTCATTTATAAGTATCATTCGCCCGTAGTCCCTACATCACCTGACCAAAGCCATTTAATGATATCATTCACCCGTAGACATATATAAGCACATAAAATCATAAACATAATATTTCCAAAATATATCTCATCGAAGCTCAATAGCTCAAACATCATCATAATGTTCATAGTATGTAATCATAAATCTTTCAAAGAGTAAATCTGATAAAGCGTGATATTTCATGAAGCATAAATTCAATTTACTCATAAACGTTTCATAAAACGTAATTATAAAATCATGATTTTCATGTATGCATTTCTAGTAGTAAAATAATGCATTTTGGAAGGGGTCCACTCACCTTACTCCATCGTCGAAGAGCCGTGCAAACTAGAGAAGACGGAAACGCCACTACAAATGCACGTAGGCATATAAAGGGACCAATTAATAAAACTATACTAAAACGATTGAATTTCAGAAAATGGATGTCATAAACGGATTCAGGATGTTGAAAAACATAAGGGGAGACCTCGGGTAGCCCCACGCGTCGCCACGGGGCAGCAGCCCGAGAAGCCACACGCCACCACACGCATTGCCACGCACAGGCCAAGACAGGCATCCACACGCATCCACGCACAGGCCCACGCACATACCCACGCGTTGATTGAGAACTGTGATTCGACCAGGTCGGGTCGGATCTGGGTTGGATTCGGTTCAGTTCTGGGTTGCAAGGTTGGGCCTGGGTAATGGGTTGGGCCCGGTTTCTAGGTTGGGTTAGGTAGTTGGGTTTGGGCCAAAGGTTTGGGTTGGGTTGAGTTACTAGGACTAGGCTGGGTTAGTTAGATCTGGGTTGAGTAGCAAGGTTTTAGGCTGGGTTCGGATGGGGTTTTGGATTTACGGGTCGGGTCGACCCATTTCAGGTTGGGTTGGCCAGTTTTGACGAAGAAGAAAACTTGATCTTTCCAAGCTCCGTTCAACCCTAAAACTTAACCAAAACAAGTCATACAATACACCAAATTGAAGCCCAATGAATAAGGATTTAAAACATACCATTAGTTTCCTCACCCGTGGCGAGAGTTGATCGGAAAAATGATTTGAAACCCATGGTTCTCATCGGGAAACTGGATTTGATTTCCTTTTTCGCTTTAGCGTGATCGTGTCGATCACAAAGCCTAAACTAGGTTAAAGTTGAACCACAAAGACGAATAAGGAATGATCTAAGTACTCTGAGGCCTACCCCATATCGGGAAAATAGAGAACTCGCAGGGAGTTTGTAGGGGAAGAACCAAAGTAATGAACTCTGCCACTGCTGGAGTTCCATAATCTGGGCCTGAGGTTGAGATGGCGAGGTTTAAGTGGTGGTGGTGGTTTGTGGTGCTGTTGTTTGTTATCTCTACATTTGCAGAGAGGGAGATAAATGTCCGAGAGTAGTACACGGGAAAGAGAAGGGAGAGAAGAAGGAAGAGTTTACTAGGGGAACAAAAAGGAAAGTGGGTCCCACATAGCACACCAAACAAGATCCAAAAAGTAACCTTTCAAAATATCTCCCAACCCAAGTGAAATTTGAAAATTGCCTTTTCGATTTGTAAAAAAAATGGGAATGGGTCGTTACATTGACGTAACCCCTTTTGGAAATTGATGAGAATATTGTCTGCCACCAAAGAGTCTCCCAAGAAAGTATCTAATCTAAACAAAATCAACATTCAAAGAATTTTGGTGTACAATTGACTGTCGATGCTTAGTGAACTTGACCTCGTTGTTGGAGTAAGCAAGAAGATTATTGATAGAACAATCGTCAAGAATGTTTCTAAGGTTCCATATGAATTTCTCAACGAGAATGAGCTTGAGAACATTGATTTGATCCCACCAACTACCACTTGTTAAACTTCGCAACAACTAGCGCTTACTCGCTTTCTCCAACATGCACTTTGGATGATTCGAGCAAATCCAAAAGATATGACTCTGCCCACCATTCCTCAGGAATGCATGTCACAGAGTAACATCACCATTTCAAATCTCTAACTCAAACCACTAAGATTTTTTCGTTTTTACAACACTCCTATGTAGATACGACTCTGCTTACCATTCTTAGGGAACACATATCGCATCAACATTTCGAGTCTTCAGTTGGTCTTAACTAGATTTCCTCCTACTGAGATTTTCTATTTCACGTCACTTCAACGTATAACTGACTTTTCCCGCTATTCCTAAGGAACGCATGTCGTAGAGTATCGGTTTGATGTTGAAAGTTGTCCAACAACCCATTTCATCACCTATGAGGCACAATCCTGACACGAATTCTTGTACTTCAAACAGAATGTGACAAATCAAACAGAAAAGATTTGCACAATTGCGCCGAAAGGCACAAAATCTGGAAGTCGTGACATCTAAATGATGTCAAGACCGACACACTACTAGAGTAATATAAGATCTTAAGTATGCTCTGAACAAACCATGCTCTGATACCAAATTGACAAACCCAACCTTGATATCCTCTAAACACCAGTATAGGTATATGTTGGCCGACACCCGAAGGTGACGAAGCCATATTAACATGCTTGAGAACTATGAAGAAAGAGCGAACTTAAATAAAACTCATAAATTTAACTATAATGAATATGCAATTGTGGAATGTGTTCAAAGCATACAACTAATCTAGAATATTGTAGAAGGAATATTATAAAAATGTACGAACAAAGGAATGGGTCATATGCCAAGAGGACTCGAAGATATCGATGTGAGAATGCCTTGACACCGGGATTGTACACCTTGATTCTAAGTCCTGAGGAGGTGCAAAACAAAACGTGAGTGGACCAAGTTTATATATAAGTAATACTAAAACAGTTATTCTTCAACGTACTAACCCCCATTTTAGAAAACTCATATAGTATAATAAGTAATAGGTTTTCCGAAAACCCTAGCATGCCATAAAACCTTCGTAAAATATATATCATATAATGTGCTTTGTAACATCATAAAGA